AGAGAGAGATAGAAACATCAATGATGAGAGAGAATCATTGATTGGCTACCTCCTGCACTGCCCCCCCCACTGGGGATTGAGCTCCCAACCCGGGCATGTGCCCCGAGCGGAAACTGAACTGTTTCATAGGTCAACTGGTTCATAGGTCAACTCTTAAACATTGAACCATGCCAGCCGACCTTGACTAAGTATATTTTAAATTAATTTTGATTATTTACTTAGTGTCCATTCAAGATTATGGTTCATCTAAATCAGCGGTTCTCAACCTGTGGGTCGCGACCCCTTTGGCGGTCGAACGACCCTTTCACAGGGGTCGCCTAAGACCATCCTGCATATCAGATATTTACATTACGATTCATAACAGTAGCAACATTACAGTTATGAAGTAGCAACGAAAATAATTTTATGGTTGGGTTACAACATGAGGAACTGTATTTAAAGGGCCAGAAGGTTGAGAACCACTGACTAAATTCAAGGTGTAACGGCGGTGTCTGTCAGGATGCTCTCATCTTCAAGTACTAGAATACCAAACGACAGTAGCTTAAACTTTAAAAACACAGTTTTCACATAAGGACATATTTTTCATATAAAATTTTCAGAGATATAGGTAGTTCTAGGATTGATAACACCAACTGCCCATTATCTTCAAGGGCCCAGCCTCTTTCCATCTTTCTGCTTTGCTTTCTTCAGTGTATGGATGATACATCTCCTGATTGCAGTGTGGCTGCTGTATAGTTCAGCACCATGCTTTCACCAGCTGAGTTTCCTAGTAGTAGGAAAGGAAGTTGGGGCAAAAAGGCTTACTTTTTGAGAAGATTTCTCTTTTATTAGAAGACTAGAGGCCCGGTGCATGAATTCATGCATGGGTGGGGTCCCTCGGGGTGGCCTGCGGAGATCGCTGCCCAGCCTGCGCCCCCAGCCTTGCAGCCTCAGCTCACCCCCAGCCTCGCAGCCCTGCAGACCCGCCTGGCACCCCGCCTTGGCCTGGTGTCGCCCCCCCACCTGCTCCACCATCCCGTCTGTAGGGACGATCGGTCAGGGCTGGGCCCCCCGCCCGGCTCCCTCAGTGCCTGGGAGTCAGGCGGCAGCCCCGCCCCCCCTCTACCATCTGCGGGGTGATTGGCAGGGTGATTGGGCACCTGCTCACACCGCCTTGGCCTGGTGCCGCCTGCTAACCTGCTCCACCATCCTGACACAATCCTGCTCTCCTCAGGGCCCATTGGGGCTGGCAGCGCCTCCACTGCTGCACGCTGCCAGTACTGCATCGCCAACCCCCGCCATGTTCCGCGTCGCCCCCTGGTGGTCAGCGCACGTCATAGTGAACGGTCAAACTCCTGGTCTCCTGGTCGAACTCCCGGTCCAACGACCGCCCAAGGAGACAATTTGCATATTAGGCTTTTATTATATAGGATGAAAATCTTTCCCAGAGGCTTCCAGTAGATTTTCCTTCTGTCTTATTGGCTAGACCAAGATAACATTCCCATCCCTAGCTAGGTCATCACCAACAAAGAGAAATGGCATTGACATAATTGGCTTACAACGTTTATAATCATCTGTTGGGATAGGCATTTTGCTTCCTAATCAGAGTTGGTGTTCTTAGCAAGTTAGAAGTGGGGCTTACTATGGAGTTATTATCTACTAGAGGCCCGGTGCACAAAAATTTGTGCACTTGGGGAGGGGGGAGAGGGGGTCCCTCAGCCCATCCTGTGCCCTCTCGCAGTCTGGGACCCCTGAGGAGATAATGACCTGCTGGCTTAGGCCTGCTCGGGCGGATCGGGAGGTTGCGATGCCACCCCTAGTCACGCTCAGCAGGGTACAGATTGGGGGGTTGGGGCACCGCCCCCTGTCGCACTCAAGGCACGGTCAATAGGGAAGTTGCGGTGCCACCCCCTGTCACGCCGCAAGCAGGGCC